TGACTGCATTGTGCTCTATGGATAAGTTAGAATTTAACTGAACTTCTATAGATTGTTCTTAATGTTTTGCTATTGTTATTTTTCCCCTGGGCAAGAGAATATTTAATAGGGAATGTTTAAAACTTCATGAAAAAATGGAATTAAAATATAAAAATAGAAGAAATACACTTCTGAACATCAGCTTCATTAAGGTCTGGACACTTTTGTAAGTGATAACACCAGTCATTTAGTCCGTCCTCAGTTCCTGGGAATTTAATCAGGTCAATGCAATCTTTTTTATATTATTAACTAAAGAGAAATGGGTACTCTTCAAAGATTCTTTAAGATTAAGAAACAAAAAGACACCAGAAACCGTCAATTCAGGACTGTAAGGTCAATCCCTAATGGATTCCCTTTGAAACACTCTCACAAAATTGCCCTTGTTTGATGGAAGGAGTGAGCTGAGCAGGCGCCAAATTGCATCCTTACAGAATTATGGAGCCACTGAGAACACAACCCAGCCAGGCACAATTCAATCCACAGCAAAGGGTATATGCGTTTTAATGTTGACTGGTACCGCAAATTGCCTTTTTAAAGATGGTGCCTGTTGGCCCTGGCAGCAAGGTCTGAGTGTGCATATGTACACACAGCCTTGCCAACCCAGTGTGTTTCCACACTTCTCAAGTTGTGTCCACCTAAGAGAAAAATAATATATTTTTTGCATCTCTTTTATTATGAATGGAGCCGAGTATCTTTTCACCTGGAAACTTTTTTTTTCATGTATTGTCCATATTTTTCTCTTGAATCTTCGCTCTTTTTCTATGATTTGTAGGAACCTTTTACATTATAAAACTTGTGAGTGAACGTGACATTGAGTAGCAAGACCCTAAAAAGAAGTGGCCTTTGACTTTCCATATGCTGAATTATCTTTATACAATTGCATTCATCTATCTTTATTTTCTGTCTTTTTGGGGATCACATTTAGGAATGCTTCAAAATTATTTCAAAAATTGCTGATAAAAATAAAGTTCAAGTACTTTTGTCATTTCTCTTGGATTTTTTGGGTGTGTAATATTATATTTTAAATGAGTTCTAGGTTTAATTATGGTATCTATATCTATAGACTATATATTATCTATCATATATTCCATATAGATTACCTTACCCACTGTCATCAAGTTGACTCTGACTCCTAGCAACCCTACAGGACAGAACAGAACTATCCCCTTGAGTTACTGAGGCTGTAAATCTTTACATGGGCAGAAAGCCTCATCTTTCTCCCAGGGAGCAGTTGGTGGTCTTGAACTGCTGACCTGGCATTTGGAATCCCAACTCATAACCCACTAGGCTACTAGGGCTGCTTTCAATATCTACTGCCATTTCATGTATTTATTCAGTATACATTTATTAAGCAGCTACTGCTTCTAAGGTACCAAACCATACTTTAGTAAGGGATCCAAAGGTAAAATTTTATTGTGAATTGGGTGAAGATGTACAGACAGATCAGTTTTCCACTAAACAATGATCACACACACTTTATTCATATCACTGATTGCCATTGCACTGAGTCCAATATCATAGTGCTTATCCCAATTCTTCTCTGTTTCCTGTTTCCATTCCTCCTTTCCTAAGGGTTCCTGCCTTTTGAACTTTGTCCTTGGGAGAATGTTACCCTTTGGTTGTTTATTCTGAGAAATATGTAGCTACTGCTGTTGTTGACCTTACAGACCTCTCTATTGTAGCCTGAACATTGAAAGGCGGGGTGATTTCAGTTCCAACCCTGCTCCCCTTCTTTTTTTGTCTTCTTTTGCCCGAAAGAGGACTAAGTGATTTCTCAA